AAGGGGAAAAAACAGGAAAAATCCAGGAAAATCTGTTTATTTGCTCTTTTTTGACTTCTATTGTATAATTTTGGATTTTCTGGTATGCATGGGGTGTTTTCTGTGTGTGAAGTCCAGCAAAGAAAGCGCAATGGAATAATAGAAAAAATAGAATAAAAGAAAATGGCTTGAGAAAGGTTCAAATTTCAAGACCCCTTAGCTACCTTTAATATCAAGGCATAATTTTCAAACATTGGGAAAATTGGAAAAATCTGGAAAAATCCAGGAAAATCATTTTATTTGCCCTTTTTCGACCTCTATTGTAACATTTTGGATATTCTAGCATGCATGGAGTGTTTTCTGTGTGTGAAGTCCAGCAAAGAAAGCGTAATGGAATAATAAAAAAAAAGAATAAAAAAATAAAATGGCTCGAGAAAGGTTCAAATTTCAAGACCCCCTAGCTCCCTTTAATATCAAGGTATAATTTTCAAACTCGGACCCTAAGTAGGGGTCTATGGTCCAAACAAGGCTGCTGAAGATAATTTTTATAGGCCAATTAGGGGGGTCACAGTGGGCCCCTAAAGGTATATTGCGAAGATGAGAGGAGAGAGCTTTTGAAGCGAAACTGTGGTAGGCTTCACGTATCACCATGGACTGGAAGGTAGGCCACCAGACAAGCAAGTTGAGTGCAGGAAGGATTGGTCCTGGGTTCGAATCCCAGGAACGGTCGAATTTTCAAAAATTTTCTTTTTTTTTGTTTATTTTAAATTATATTATTTTTTTATGTGTTTTTCGATATTCTGGAGGTTCCTGCATGTAGGAAAAATTCAAAATAAAGAAACTTTTTTAAAAATTTGACCGTCCCTGGGATTCGAACCCAGGACCCCATCCTCCTGCAGCGAACTTGCTTGTCTGGTGGTCTACCTTCCAGTCCACGTTAATACGTGAAGCCTACCGCAGTTTCGCTTCAAATGCTCTCCTCTCATCTTCGCAATATACCTTTAGGGGCCCACTGTGGCCCCCCTAATTGGCCTATAAAAATTCTCTTCGTCAGCCAAATTTGGATTATGGACTTCTACTTAGAGTCCAAGTTTGAAAATTAAACCTTGATATTAAAGGGAGCTAGTGGTCTTGAAATTTAAACCTTTCTCGAGCCATTTTATTTTTTCATTCTTTTTTTTATTATTCCATTTCGCTTTCTTTGCTGGATTCCACACACAGAAAACACCACATGCATGCTAGAATATCCAAAATGTTACGAAAAAAGTCGAAAAAGAGCAATTAAACTTATTTTGCAGGATTTTTCCAACTTTTTCCCATTTTCCCTATAAAAAAAATTATTTCCTACATGGAGGACCCTTTAGAATATGGAAAAACACATTCAAAATAATATAATTTAAAATAAACAAACAAAAAAAAATATTTTTGAAAATTTGTCCGTCCCTGGGTTTCGAACCCCGGACCCTGCAGCAGCAAACTTGCTTGACTTCTGCTCAAAGAGGCCATGACTCGCCGAATCCTAATGACTCCAAGGACGATAATGTGTCACAAATAGAAAACTGTTTTACCTCGTTTTAGGCAGCATTTTTATACTGTTACCCTAACCACTCATAAATATATTTAAATGGCTACAAACAACGTACTGGAGTACAATTTAATTTTAAAAAATTAAAATTCGCTTGCAAGGAACTTTATTTTAATTACCAACAATTAAAAACAACGCCTTAGCTATAAATAATTTTTGAAAACAAAAAAAAACTCTGTGCGCATAGTTCTATTAATGCTATCAATATTTTGTTAAAATTTGAAAATGATGGACTGTATTTTTTAATTTTTTTTATTAAATCTCTACATTTCAAACCCCGATCAATTCGGGCACAATTTCTAATTAACCTAATAATATTTGTTAATGGATGTATATTTGTTATAGGCTGTCGAAACTTGTGACTTTGCTAAGAGTCTTTTTTTTTCCTTCTTTTTTTTGAGTGAATTTTATTTTGAAATTTTCAGGACCATTTCCCCATAATAATGAGCCACACTCAAAAGATCTTTGCGTATTGAGAGTGATTTAAGATATTGCGACGATGCAATAAAATTATTTTCTCGATCCCAGAATTATTAACATTTCTTTTTTTTTTTATCCAGGTAAAGCTTCTTATATGCTAAAATAATTGCTGAAATTTACATTCAGACTTTTACTTAAATACGCTAAAATGTGTTTTCAAATATTTGACATAAATTTGCATACACTCAATAAATTACATTCCATAAAGTGTTTTTATTATATTATTAAAAGGTTTTGAATCAAACATTCATTTTTATTCAATACTCATTAACATCTTTTTCTATTCATTAACATTCAATTTTATTCATTACACAGGAGAAAATTTTTTTGGTTGCATCTCTACAAATACGTAATCTTGCCTAGTTCAGGTGTTGTGCTTTCAAATCAAATTAGTTTTGCTCCTTACACTCTGTTTTCGTTTTAAAAAAATGGCATTTTTAGCAACAAAGAAAAATTCAACTCACAAGTTTAGAAACATTATATGTAATAGGGCAGTGTAAATGTTGTAACAAATTTCTAAGGAATTGAAGCACAAAATCGGGATTAATGCACAGGAACCCAGGAATCGGGATTATTGCACAGGAACCCATGCCCGAAAATGTTGCCGTACAAAACTAGGTGCTCTTCCCTTTAATGACCAGTTTAGAAGCACACAAAGAGTCAGTTCATAGTAGGAAAGCGTCCCTAGCAGCGTATGACGACCTTTCTGGCATGGGTTCCTATACAGTTTTAATCCTCATTATGCGTTCCATCTCCCCAAGCTGTTTCTCCCAACAATTATGTTATGATATGAAAGTATCCAAGATAAGTTAAAAAAATCTCATGCAGGGAAAAAAATTATTTCTTTAGAAGCAACAATCATAATTCAGATCTAGCTACTATACAACTAAAATAAACACTTTTAGCATTGTCTATTCAATATAAGCAAGCAGCCGCTTTCAAAGTTAGATTTGGCGAGATTTATAAAAGATCATTTTAAACATTTTCTTTTCCTCCTCTGCTGTGGCAAATAATGATTTCGATTTGAGACTGTATTTTTATTGTTTTGTTAAGTTCGAGTGTAAATAATCTTTCACTTGTTTTTTTATATTCGTATTAGTTTTATTTCTTTCATTTTCTTTCCTTTTTTCTAGTTATAAATTTTGTTTAAATCTTAAAACATATTTTTTATACTATAGCGACAACTATTAAAGCGCGTGACAGCATAGAAATATATATCTCGAATCTTATAGTTTTTGTTTATTAAAACTATTTATTTTTTTTAGCAATTTTTTTCAAAGAATTGCAAAAAATAAATGTATTTTATGCCGAAAATATACACGGAAATTTTATTAAGGTATTTCTAAAACTAATTATACTATAATAGAGTTTTTAAGTAAATTCTCATTTTTATCCGATTTAGCTTTGTTTAGCGGTGGAATATTTTTTATTCGTCGTAATTTTTAATATTTTTGAAACTTATTTAACTATGAATATTTGATTCTTCATTTTGGAACTTAGTTTTTTCTTTCCTTATAATGGGAACATCAAAGTTAAAGTGCTTAACTTATTAAAGCTCCAATTTTGTTTCCTATAAAGTTTCCTTATCTTAGCATATCTACAGTAAAAAAATAATAAACTTTTAATAATAATAATAATTTTCATCAAAAAATATTATTTGTATTTTTTTTCCATCGATTATCTTTTACCATATATTCTTGTAATTATTTAAGAAAATTTTAATTTTTGTGTTATTATTTCTGGGATGCTAACATGCTTCTGCTTTATGGGAAGATTTTTTCCAGAGTTAGCAAAGCTGTTTTCATTTTTAAATCTTGCTTTAGTAATTTGATTGCTTTAACGTTACAGTATAACATAGTCTTAATCAATAGTTTTTTTTTTTTGCAAGATACTTTGTGTTTTTTTATTTTTTCTTTATCAGTTTCTAGTCAGAAAAGCTGAAATTGATATATATTTGTGTTTTCACACATCTTATTTAGTACGTTGCCTAAGGTGGGCCAAAGCCTTTAGCTGCAGGTTACACCAGGACAATTTATTCTTTGACCTAGAGTACAAATACGTCTATCACTGAGGATATTTTACGTCAGCAGTGTGGTCGATGCGAGTCGGGTGCGGAATTCGTATCGACCAGTCATTCGCTCCCGGGTTACCTCATCGGGTGGCAAGCGCTCTGCACCATGAGCCACCACGACTTTTTATTGATGTATTTTATTTTATAGCCGTCATTTAACACCCGACCCAGTTTAGGGTTTACGTCTACCAATGTTCAACTCCATAGCCTTATAATTTTGAACCCAACACGGAAAACAAGGGAACTCCTGGATCTAGTATCGGGAGATATTTACCTTCGTTGAGAACTTTTTGATGCAATTGACCCTCATTTGCGTTACGTAGAGAGAAAAATCACGAAAATATGCCATGGTTAGCCTGACGGTAAGAAGACTCTAACCGATGATCCGTCTACCACTGAGGATATTTTGCGTCAGCACTGTGATCGGCGCAAGCCATATGCGGAATTCGTATCGACCAGTCATCTCTAGGATTCGAACCCGGCCCACCTCATATGGAAATCTGATTTAAATGTCTTCTCTCTTGTTCACGCTCCAGTTTAGTCCATCTTTGGATAATGCCCTCTAACACTTATATATCAAAATGATTAAAAAGAAAGCTCTTTTAACGAGAAAAAGTTTTTTGTAATTCTGATGAAGCAGGGAGTAAATTAAAAAAAACTATTAAAGAAAAATTTCAAAAAAGGAAATAAATTGTAAATGTTATATTTTATGCAATAGTTTTAAAAAAATGGAAATAACACGATTTCAAAAATAATGATCTCTGTTTAAAATCATGCCTTTTAATAAAATGCATTGCGTTTTCAACTATACGATTTTAATGCGTAGTAAAATATTTCGTCCTTGTGTCTAGTTCAGATTTATGTCGGTATTTTTTAAAACCGCAAAAAGCATTTCACCATTTATTTTATTACACTTCTGGATCCCAGATGTAAAAACTCTATGTGACATTTAGTTCAAACGTTTTTAATTGGCGAATTTTCAATTGGCGACTTTAGTACGGCGAATTCCAAATAACCGAGAAACAATATAGCAACCATAGAAAACTAAATCAGTACTCTCTTTCCTCTGCAGAATTAAAAGTAAATATTATGTGATAGAGGAATTCCTTGTTGAAAGCGTGGGTTTATGTCTTATTTTTGAGATCTATTAAGTAAGTTTCCTTTTTTGTTGCTACTTTTATTATAGAATTTTATGAAAACATTTTTCTATTGTTTTTCTGCATTTATTTTATTTCGATTGATTGTTTTTATCAATAGTTTTGCTCTGAAGGATTTTGATAGGTTTTTTGCCATAGAAATGTGTTATACTTTATAAAGGAATATTTGTTGAATATCAAATCAAGTGTTGAATGTTACAAAGTTGAAATTTTTGTAATATTATTTTAGGAAAGATAGTCAATCAAATGAAACGTCGCGATTCGCGATCCACTCATGGCGATTCCTATTGACGAGATTTAAAACTAACACAATTTAATTTTCATCAAATATTCAAAAATTACACACCATGATTCGTTTTAAAATAACGCATCATGATTTATATATATTCACCTGATATTTAAAGAAAAACTTTGTTTCGAACCTGGGTTATTTTAAAATCAAAACATTATGATTTGTAATTAAGCGATTTTAATATCGAACATTTCGTTTTTTAAACCCAAAATTTAAAAGTCGCACATCACGATTCATATTCACGCTATTTAACTTTAATAATTGAGTTTTCATAGATTAAAAATAAATTTTGGTGTTTTGCCTACTTATAATTGAAAATATATTTGTAAAATTTTTGGTTAATATTCATGGATTCAAATAATTAAAATGTAACAGCTTAAAAGAGTTTTGGATCATTTTTTGAAGCTATTATTATTTTTTATTATTGCCACTCAAGTTTTGTCGGAATCTGTGTCGAAAAAATTAGAATATCATATATTTTTAAGAATTTTATAATATTGTAATAAAATTACAATATTATGAAATTTACAGTTACAATATTATTATTTCAATTACTTGAAATAATATGACTTAACTACTGTAATTGCTTAAAATATTTTCATGAATTTAATTCATTTATGCTTTAATTATTAAAGTTTCCCAAAATAAGATTAAAAATATATTAATTTCTCATTTATAAAAATTATAATTAGAGTTTACAATTGTCTATTAGCAGAAGACATTCAATGATTATCTATGTCTCCTGCGTAAACGTCTATTCCCTTTAAAATTTCGGGTATTTCTTCCTGAAGCTACTACAATCACCCCTCTTAAATATTGATGGTGAATTTTTATATTCACATTTTTCTATTTTCTTTTTAAAAATTATTTGGGATAAAAGCCTTAAATATTAGTTGAAATCATATTCATTTATTTAAAAGATTGAAATATATTTTTGTTTAATTTGTAAACACTCTTCCGACGTTATTTATTTTAGAAGAGTGTTATGTTGTATTAAGCTCATGTCAATCTTTGACTCTAAGTTTATTTTGATCCTTTAAAATTCCATTTCTAGTCTTCCTTTGCAATACACATCTGAAAATTATTGAATTGATATATTTAACAGATTTTTTTATTTTATCCATCAAATATAAAACCTGCGTAAATTATTCCAAAACTGGAAATCACCGTTGAGATAAAGCTGTAATTTTACTTAGACAACGTAAGACAATCAACAGTTTTACTGAGACAAAATGCCACTTTTGTTGCGACCTTTTTTTATTTGCTGTTTCATCCCTGAATTGTGTATACTTTTCTATGTTCATTTTTGACAAGGATTCTAGAAAAAAAAGTTAAGGGTGGTCTTTACAAAACACCTTGTATACAGGGCCGGATTTAAGCTTGGTGGGGCCCTAAGCTACTGAAAATGATGGGGCCCTTATAAGTTCAATTCCATTTCTATACACCTTAAGTAAACTGTCACTATTTTTTATTGTTGAGTATTAACATTATATTATTAAAAAATTTGATAATATTACTTTATTGTTAAACATATTAATTGTGGTGAGACTATTATGTAGAACCTTTCTTTTATTGCAGATATTTTTTGAATTAGGGGAAAAAGTTACAAAAGAAACACATTTTATGCACAGAGTAAAAATTTGTTAAATATATAGTGGCCCAGCACGCCAGAGTTTGTTTTTTTTAGATTCATTTTGAATATATTTAATTTGCAATTTTTAATGTTTTTTCCGGAATTTTTTTCTTAATTGTTTTTTACGTTACAAAATCTATAAGACTTAGAAACATGAAATTTTGAATGTGCGTAGAAAGCAGGGTTGGCAGGTTTTTGACATGTGACAGTTTTTGACGGTTGTAAACCGTCACGTCAAAAACCTCACTGTCAAAAATGTCGAAAATGTCAAAAACCTATATTCATATGTGACATTTAATTAATACATAAAATTTATATATTTTTTATAAAGGATAGTGTTACTAAATATGTTCTAGAAAAAATAAATTTAAAATTTTGAAGAAACACTTATATTTTGAATAGTAACCAAAATCTTGTACTTTTGAAAGCTCACATCTTTTGTAATATTATGTATTCATTTTCATGTGTTATTGAAAATCTGCAGTGATATTATTAAGAAATTTATTTATAACCAAATTTAGTGTATAGTATAGATTATACTAAAAATTAGACATTTTTAAAGATAAACATTAGCAGTTTTGTACATTAGACATCT